GGTGGTGGACAGAATATTGAAGATGGCACAATTCGTACTCTGCCATCGGACACTGGATGCATCACATGTAGCTGACTTGTACTTTAGGAAGCTCATGAGACTACACAAAATACTCAAGAACATTACTTCTAATAGAGATATAAAGTTTATGAGCCACTTCTGGAGGACCCTATAGGGGAAACTTAACACTAGTTTTAATTCAGCTCAGCAGCTCATCTACAAATAGACAGTCAGACAAACGTGGTGAATGGGAGTCTAGGTAACCTTCTGAGATTCTTTGTGGAGAAGAATATTAAGCAGTAGGATCTAATCCTAGCATAAGCCGAATTTGCTTATAACAGGTCTGTGAGTTAGACCATGGGATACACCTATTTGAGATCGTGTATGGCCGCAACCCACTCACTCCACTTGACATGGTACCTAACGCGTGAGCTTAATGGGACACGGTACTGTAGCTGCTATAGTACTGCGGTCCTCTTTTTTCCTATTTGATCCCTTGCCTTTTTTCCATTCCCTTCCTAATTCTATTTCATTCATATTCTAATTCATTTCTATTTTATCTATTAGCTATTATATATGTGTGGTTTTGTGTACTAAGGGCTAGCTTTTGATTAATTTCAGATTTTTTATTTCTGTTAGAACAATCGTCGGCATCTTTTGTCTCTTTCAAGGGTTGTATCTGAGGGATTGAGTGATGCTCGAGTTGTATCTCTGTTGAGGTGGCGATAAATCTTCCTCCTATTCCCTTCCACATCCTCCCACACCTCTCCCTGCCACCATACCTCGCTTAAGCCGCCCACAATGGCACTCAGTTTACTATTTTATACAGTCCTCAGTCTGTCAGCCACCTTCCCCTCTCTTCCTGTGTTGTTGCCACCCAAACTGCACCTCCCTCCGGACCGCTGCCACCCAGGACAACCAAGGAACACCTCTTTCCAGCTGTCCAGCCGCAATCCACCCCAACTCCTTGCTATCATCACCCAGGATAGCCTCCTACTTATCCCTGCTTTTATACACCTTCCCCTTGCTACCAACAACATTTATTGGCAGCTGCCACCCCCGCTAGTAATTTCGATCCACCTAGCCGACATTCACTACCCTTGGGATACACTTTAGTGGTATTTGCGTCTGTAGTTTCATATTTGTTATCAATTATTTATTGTTTGAAGAGTCATCGTTGTAACCCTATTTGAATTCAGCAAAAAGATTTATATTTCTATTATTGTTTGTGTTAACTCTGATATCATATCTAACCTAACCTTAGTTCTACCCTAGGGTTTCCTAGCATCCGCCCCTACCCAAGTCACCTCCACCAAAAATTTTGATTCCTGCCACCCACCAAACCATAGCCAAAAACATAACCCTAATTTTCCATAGCTGACTTTCAAAATCAACAACCTAAAATTAATTTTTATTCAACTTCAATTATTTTTATGCTCCTTCTTTCACCTCTGAACCCTAAATCCTAACCATATCACTAAGAAGATACATGCTCGAGCCTACTTGTGAAGAGATAACTCGAGAGATATGCCAACTTCAGCAGAAGCTTACAGACATAGAGGATGAAACCCAAGGGGAGATTACCTCTACCGGAATCTGGTGAATCGAAGGGGAGCGAGAGACGAGAGTCAGAATCCCTTATATATGGAAAAGGTTAGTGAAGCAGAAGACCCCGCCACGACGCTTTGGAGTCCAGTATCAGAAGAGGTCAAGAGAAGAGTCGGCATATGAAGAACGGGAGAATCTGAAGATGAAGCGTGAGCTCTAGCGCATGTTCCTATCAGCTTAATAAAGGCAGAAGATTCAGACTCTAGCTTCAGAAGTTGAGAAACCACATCACCGAATGATCACCAAGTCTTACTGACAGCACTCAACCTCAGGGTCTTGCAGCCAGATTACACCCAGGAGAATATCCAAGCTGGCCCCGTTAGAGAAAACGCTGAGTTAGAGTGGAGAATAAGTCAAACCAATCTGCATCCCTAAATCACTCCTAACCAGAAAGTGTTCCAAGTGCCACGGACTTCTGCATGTTAAATCAGGTTGCACAACCACGAGGGTGATTTGTTTCATTGAGCAAGTCATTCTAAAAAAATACGGTAATAACACAATAAATACTGAAGACGACGATGACACAAAGGAGGATCAACTTCCAGTTGAGGATGAAAAGTTACACAAATTTTTAGATGAGCCCGTGGGAGAGATTCCAACCAACTTCACGATAAGTGTTCAAGGCAGTCTTAAGTTCGAGGAGCTGACACCAGAGGCATGGCAACCCAAGGTAAGAGAAATCTATTGATGCATAGACTCATTCCTAAGTTGCCCCTACTGATAGAGGTCCGACACGTCAGAAATGGGGTCATTTTGTGCCATATCAAAAAGGTTTCGTTAAGTTATTCAGATGTTAGAGTCAATTCAGCATGGTGCCCATTATCAGATGTCCATACAAGAGAAATGAAACCTGGCCTTGAAGCTTTCTTAGGAGCTTGATGGGAAAAAAAATTCTTCAATGGGATCCAAGCCCTATCAGTGGAGAAGAAGACTCTCCTGAGTGGTTGTTAGTGAGAGTAATGCAGCTTACCACAGATTTCACCTCAAATTAATTTCTCCTCAAATATTGGTTTATCATCTACATTCAGCTGAGCACGAGAAATTGAAGAAGAAAGTTTCAGACTTAAGGACTCAAAAAGTTACATTACGGGAACCTACATATATATGCAGCTCCAGCTTATATTATGCCAAGAGAGAATGCATATTTATTCTATCAAGATGTGTTGTGTAATGATAACACCTACATGATCGACCTCCCGAGGGATTGCAATAAGTCTATTACCACCAATGTGGCAAACTTTATCATGTACTACAAAGAACCAGAAGTTTCGACGAATGAAGTCGAAACTGCCCCAACTACGTGAGATTGACGCGAGAGCTTAACGGATCTCGGTATTGTAGCTGCTACAGTACCGCGGTCATTTTTTCCCTATTTGATCGCTTGCCTTTTTCTATTTCCTTTCTAATTCAATTTTCTTCATATTCTAATTCCTTCCTATTTGATCTATTAGCTATTATATATTGTGTTTTGCTTGCTTAGGGTTGACTTTTGATTAATTCCAAATTTCATATTTCTCTCAGGATAGCCCTTGGAGTGGTGTTTTGGGTTAACTACGGCATCCCGATCCTAAAACTCTTTTCCGCTAGTCATCCCGATCCACCTAGCCGACCTCCACCACCCTTGGGATACCCTTTAGTGGTGTTCGCGTGTGTTGTTTTATGTTTATTATCATTTATTTCATATTTAAAGAGGCATCATTGTAACCCTATTTCAATTCAGCAATAATATTTCTATTTCTATTGTGATTTGGCTTAACTAAGGCATCCGTACAACTTCCAATATCAGAGATTAGTGAAGAGGTTGAGGAGAGGGCGCAAGGGATTCATGAGTTACACAAAGAGGTGGAAAAGGTGATCAACAAGCAGAACTGCAAGTATCAGACACATGCAAAATAAAAGGTTGAAGAAAGAAAGGTTTCCATGAGATTCTTCATGAACCTCAAGCCCATAGCTGAAGGACCTTTTAGGATTCTCAAGAACTTGAACGACTGTGCCTACAAGATCGACCTACCAGGAGACTAATATTTTTGGTACTTTCAACATAACAAATTTGAGTGCATGCTACGAGGAACCAAAAACTTCTATGAATGATGTCAAAACTCAACCAATCTCGAGAGACAGAGGTAGGGCTCAACCCAGGTTGAACCAGCAAGGGAGGTTGAATCAGTTCAGCAG